AGCAGGGAGCCCGATGCGGGACTCGATCCCGGGACTCCAGGATCATGACCTGAGCCGAAGGCAGTCGCTTAACCAACTGAGCCACCCAGGCGCCCTGGTATTCCAGCATTTAACAGTAATTATTTTGGGAATAAGCACTTGAATAAATATGGCGAGGACTCTCTTGGGCCGACATTATACCATCATAGGTATAAATCTTGTACAAATGGGGGGAATTACTTTCCACTGGAGATTTACTATATAGTCAACGAAATCTAAAGGGGGAAAAAAAAAACTCTTTCACTCGGTCACTAGAGTTCTTTCACAGTTATTTCTGGATGTTCCTCATCTTTTCTACTAAGCTATAAAGTCTTCAAAGGCAAGAACTAGTTTTGATTTTTCTTGGTGTCCTTACACTAGCACAGTGCCTGGAACATAGAAGACAATCAACGATTTGTGGGGATGAATCATGCCCCTACCCTAAGAGACTGGTGAATCCCTCTAAAACAACACTGACAAGCAAAGACCGCAAGATTTTACAAACACCTCCACCGACCACTCACTCGCCCAGACAGTCCATTATCCTGTTTCCTTCGTAGGATGGCTCTTTAGTTACTTGAAAAAAGTTTATAGCCTCCTATGGCCCCCCTTTACTTCAGCACAGAAATGCCCTGTGTCTTCACATTTTCCCTCAGATATTAAGGTCTACACTCCTTCCATCCCCTGATCCTGGTGTAAGGAGAAGTGTCATTGTGGGACACATGCCCTTTCTGTTGGATTTAGATAGTTACGGAGGCAACTCACCAGAGGCAGAGATGAAGGGCGGTCTGCCCGGAAACTGTTTTCAAGAGAAGACGGGTTGGGACTGTTCCCGACGCTCGTGTTCTGAAATTAATGAAACAAAATGAAAAACCAGATCAACTAGGAAACCAGAGGAAATAGAAAAGAGAGACAGCAACCGAGGCTCAGGAATGTTGTACTCACTTCTAAGTGTCCACACACAGATTTTAGTAGCTTGTAAGTAGAATCTCTGGAGAGTAGGGAGACAAATATGTACTGAAAAACAAGACAGAGTCATTATTAACAGATACTGCCTGGAAAGATGTGAGGGTTCAGAGTGCAAACAATTTATCTGTATATAATTTTTTTCCTTTTCAAATGATGGAGACTGTTCTTTGGTCTACAGTCTCATGCACCCACACATTTTTTTTTTATTCCATTTTCTGTAATAAACCAAACCTCTTCCCCCACAATAGCAACAAAACCGTCAAACCTCATTTAACTAATGAAGCATCATGAAGGTTCTAATACGCTAACATGGATGCCCCAAACACGCCCAGGCAGGCTTAAAAATAATAATGATAATTAAAAAAAAAGGCTAGTGATATTTGCTAGATCCTCTTTAAAGCTTGTTCCCCGCCCCCTTTCTTTTAAGGTATTTAACAAGTCCCAAGGGTCCTCTCTGTTCTGACCTAGATTTCCACTAACAATTTCCCAGAGGCTCTCACAGGCTTGTTCTTTTTCAAGCCACTTCCAGATTCTCCCTTGTACAAATACGGAGATTTTCGAGTGGATGTGTATACGTAAGCGATGGGAAAGAAGTGAAATCAGACGAGACAAGGAATTTGGAGACACAGGACATAAGGAAAAACGATTTTAGCAAGAACAGGATGTTAAGAAAATACTAAAACTCAGTCTTCCTCCGTCTGTTTGGGCCACAGAATCTTTTCAGAGCCCCTTTCCACAAATGTGTGATTATCCCTGTCACTCATCGACGAGAGCACGTGATAGGCTTTCCCAGCAAGCACGTATTCCAAAGGAATTAACACTGTGGATTCTGCTGTTAGACCTAGTTGCTAGGTCTGGCTCTCCCACTTACAAGAGGGTACTGGGCAAACTGCTAAAACCACTCTTGGCTTCACTTTTTCTTTTCTTTTGAAGATTTTATTTATTTATTTCACAGAGTATGCGGATGGGGGGGCAGAGGGAGAGAGAGAATCTCAAGCCGACTCTACACTGACTGCGGAGCCCAGTGCGGGGCTCGATCCCACGACCCTGAGATCGTGACCTGAGCCGAAATCGAGTCTGATACTCAAGCGACCCTTGGCTCCAGTTTTAACAACACCTACCCCTCCTAGGTGGCAGTGTGGAATCAATGTAAAAACAGAAGGAAAGCATTTAGTGTGCCTGACGAGAAGTACTTAATGCTCATTAGCCATTAGTATTAAAACACCTTTTTTTTTTTTTTTCCAAAATATTAACCTATTTCCCACCTCATCAGATTAGGCTCTCTTGTCTTTTCTCCGCCCACCTTCCCTCTTCAAGTTACCCAGTAGGGTTAGAAATGGAATGCAGCTTTTTTGCTTTCATTGAAATAGTAGGTAAAATCTTAAAAAAATAATTTCAAGTGAGAAATGAGTAGGCGAACTATTCCACTCCCTCTTTCTGGCCAAACTGAAAAGAACACCACTCTCAATGCAAGTACTTCTGGTTGCACGCGTGTGGGGCAGCCCAAGTCAGGAGTAGCTCTAGAATTTCTATACAGAACAGTACTTGAAGCAACCTGGAAGCACAGGGGGACTAGAAACTGGTCCTGAAGCTGACCATGCAGGGCAAGCACTGGGTTGACGTATCTGGGACGGCTCTGGAGAGGGACCAAGTAAGGTTTTGGGGAGGGTGGCCACCCCACCCCAGAGACTCCTAAGTCTCAGCCTACCTCACCCCCTCAACCATGTGGTGGCTATGGTTATTTTAAATATTAAAGAAACTCAATATATCAGCTTAGCCTCTTCTAAGAGATATTAGGGAAAGGGAAGGTGGGAAAGAATTTTATGTTTTCGACCTTGGTCAAGCAAGCAGAATTAAGTCAGCAGGAAAATCAAAACTGTCAACAATTATATTAGAATAAAGCACCTTGTGAGGGGAGACAATACACAAACAGGACAAAGCGAAGGTGCCCTCGCTCCAAGGCCTACTCACCCGGTCTGTGACTGTTGCTATAATCAGGGCATTTGGCACCAGGAGGGCAGTTTTGGTTTTCTTTATTAGGGTGACTGAGAATGCCGGAATAGAGATCTGAAACAGAATCAGTTAAGACTGGTTCAGGCTTCACTGAACACGACTTCAAATCTTTATGTTGAAGGAAAAAACATTTTTTTTGAAGTTTAACAAAGAAATCAAAACCACCAGGGAGCTCTCCAGCCTCCAGGATGAAAAGCGAGTCTCCTCAAAGTTCTGTTTACAAAGCCAGAGGGTAAATCTGCATCATTAATTTTACTTGCTGGGCGAGAAACCTTTGTCTTGAGATGAGGGAATGAATGCAAAATGCACAGTCATCTTAAAGATAGGCCCAGGGCTCTAAAGAAATTGTGTGTTTGTGGTCGTCCACTTAGGGCTAATCTCCGCACACTCCTGGCTCTCCTCTACCTTTAGGTACGTGCGGGTAGGGAAAACCTTGGGACCTCAATTCTCAGCTATGTTACTTTCATGACACTGAATAAAGGAAACCTCATTTAAAATGCAGCCTGGAGGGGCGCCTGGGTGGCTCAGTCCTTAAGCGTCTGCCTTCGGCTCAGGTCATGATCCCAAAGTCCTGGGATCGAGCCCCGCATCAGGCTCCCTGCTCAGCAGGAAGCCTCCTTCTCCCTCTCCCGCTCCCCCTGCTTGTGTTCCCTCTCTCGCTGTGTCTCTCTCGGTCAAATAAATAAAAATAAGATCTTAAAAAAAAAAAAAAAGAACCTCTTCATCTAAAAAAATAAAATAAAGTGCAGCCTGGAGGCTAGAGGAGGGGGCACTCTCACGCACCACCTCTGCTCCTCAGTTGCACACCCCAACAGGAATAAGCCCGCTTGACTACCCAACCCAGCAGGAGGAAGGAAGGATTTCTCCTTGCCCAGCAACAAGCTCAGTCAATGAGAAGGCCTGAACACTCACTTCTCTCCAATGGACTTTTGTCTAAAGCGACCCCTCCCAACTTCCTTCTTTTCTCTGTAATTTAACATTTCTTTCCTTTGATCTCGACTTGCCTGTGGTTTGCCTATGGTTTGCGGTAGCTTGCATGGCTCAAATTGTGATTTCTCTCCTATTCCTGAATAAACTCGTTTTGCTGATAAAACAAGTGGCTATTTTACTTTTCACGGTCCACTCTACGTGACCTACTCGACCTTACAAGCTACCCTTTCTAAGCCTCAGTTTCCTGATTTGTAAAATGGAGATAATCTGCCCTGCTTCCCAGGATTTTCTGTGGATTAAGTGAGGTAATATATGGAAAATGCCTAGCCCTCATTAAGAAAGTGATGTATTCTGCTTACTTTGGCAGGACATATACTAAAATTGGAATGATACAGAGAAGATTAGCAGGGCCCCTGCACGAGGATGAGTGCAAATTCATGAAGTGTTCCATATTAAAAAAAAAAAAAAAGTCATTCATTTCCTCATTCGTCTCATAAAAAGAGGATGGGTGAAATGAACTCTAACTTTATTTTCTGGTTCAAACAATAGAGAATTACAACAGATGAGAAAGTCATTTAATTAGGACAGTCTTATGAAGTACATATTCTAAGAGATTAGGACATGTTCAGAGAGGTAGGTGCTTGTCCAAGGTCATAAAAATAATAGGTTACAACAATGGAATTTGAACCAATCCAAACCAAAATGTGGGTTCTTTTTCATACAATGTATTACAAGCATGTACCAGATAACATGAAGAATAGATGTTCCAATAGTTTTATGTTATATCCCCCCAAGCCAGTCTTGTTTCAAAGAGAAAAGGATCTTATCACTTTGATCCTGGAAAACAGAGTCACACACATCCACGGTAAAATGACTTGACTCCCTCCACAGGTACCCACACTAACTTGAACATTTATTTTGTAAAAACGCTTTGCAGGTTCTAAAAGAACAGGGTCGGTGGGGAAGAGGAGGGCCTTAGGTTAGAGCTGCCAGCTTGAAGGAAGAAAAACAAGCTTTTAATTCTGAACACTTGCATTCCCGTATTTAGGTTTATGAGACAGAAATGTTCTACTGCCCCTCCAAGTTCCAGATGGGAGGACCAGGGAAGAATGAGGGGCTAATCTTAATAAGACATTTCCTAAAATTGCCAAAGAACTCTACTGCCCCAAATGTTGAAGTGTAGGAGGTAACTCAGAAGTTATACACTGGGATAACTTTGGGGGAAAAAAGTAAGGTCTACCAAGACCCACCATGTTATGTCTTTAGAAAACCAGTGTGTTAATGCCAGTCAGTTCTCTCTTAGGTACATGTTGGATTTTAAAACCATTGCTAGAATCATATTGGCTTCAAAGTATACTTCCTGAGTTTTAGAACTCCCTCATCCTTTAACAAAGACTCATTCTTCATTCACTAATATCTCCAACCCTGCTGCTTTGGTCAGAGGCGTTGGCTCTAAATTCCTGAGAATTATCTTATCACACTGAACTGGAGATCCCTTCTACCCAACCCCTTCCCTACTCCATGAACAAGTTCTTGTAACTGAGAAATCTAGAAATACAGTGGAATACTGCTTAACATTGCTTTGCATTATACTGATTCAGGTGATACTATTTATCAAAATATGTTTGTCTAAACACAACTCTACATAATTACAAAACAACATTAAAATAACATGTCTGACCTAAAGAACAGTGTGCTAGTCGGCTGACCCAACACCAACAAAATCAAGAATTTCCATTGTTTGTTACATAGTCATTATCTAAAAGATTGCCAGGGGCTTTAGGGAGAATATTTAAATAAAACATAACTACCACTCAAAACAAAAAGTTTTCAGTCAGCGACTTCATGAATATAAAAGCTGCTTATTAATAATCAGGAATCAGAAGGATTAAGAACTCATTAGGTCACGCGAACCTAAAAAGGACTTTCTCGGACACCTTGTTCTGGTGGCCTGAATGAACTGCCGTGTGACATTGGAGGACAAAAGGAAAGAATGTCAGTGGGATGGAATTATCTTTTCCCTTCTTATGACACAGTCCCAGGGTCCTCGCTTTGGAAGGCAGTGGCTTGGGAAAACTGCCAGTTCCTCTGGGCTATCCTCCTGAACAGCTCAGGAATCTTGGGCCTGTGTTCCCCCAAATCAGTTTAATGAGAATGAGAACTTTCAGTCATTGTCCCCTGGGGAATGTGGATGTGTGAGTCTCTCAGACCAGGCCTTAAGCGTTCCAATTTCTGCTCATTTGGTGCTGGTGATGGTACAAAGTGAGCTCCAGTAAGTGGCTTATTTTTAAGCCTGTTTTTCTACATGTCTGATGTAACTGATAGGAACACGGTGTAAAAATCGATATTTATTTTAAAAAAATGGTCTTGGGTTTAATATAGGTCTTTGAAACAAATCGTGGCATGCTCTCCAAATGGACAACTTTGAGAGTTCTCTGGTGCCATCTGGGTAGAACGGATTTAGTGCAGGGTTGTGGGAGAGATCTATGTACATAAGGAAATAAACGGAGAGTGGTCTTTAGGAAAAAAGGGAAGTTAGTGTCATTTAGAGGCATTTAGAACCTGTAATATTTGGAACCACGATAAAGGAAATAAAGATATAAAGGTCTAATTAAGAGTAAATATTTACCAACATTGCTATGCTTAAAACAATTGATATTCACAACATATAATAAAGTGCATAGCTTCCTTTTTAAAAAATTATACCAACCTTAGTGTCTTTTCCAAAGACCTTGGAATGGAAACAAATCCAGTTTTCTGATACAAAGAGCTTCCCCTGGTATAGTATCTCTTTCTGGAGAGCACAGGTAAAACCTGGGAAAATAGACACAGGTATAAGAGCACTTAGAATTTCCATATGAAATAAAAATTATATAAATATGTTGGTTCCCCAGGATTGGCAGAGATAATACACTCATACTCAAAAGATCTTTCACCTGTTCGTCAGCCATCTTTCAGGGCATAAAGCTATGGGGATGAGAGCTTGTTATTTAATTCAAAGTCTTCACATGCCTTAGTATGGAAGTCAAAATGGCCAGGCAAGTCTATCACTACAAATGAGAGTTCCAGAATGGAGTTTCAAAATCTCCTCTGTTGAGGAAGGCATGTCACTTTGAGCTCGTGGTGGCACTCCTGCCCCTCCTTCCCTGGGACTGTCACTAATGACTCCTTTTGAAATTGATGGTCTCAGTGTGGGAAGAGCATGTGACCCACATGTGTGGGCATCATGGCAGGAATCCAGCCTCCTGCTTAACATGGGTACACTGAGAGGCCACAATGGAACCCTGGTCCTAATGAACCTAAGAGGAGCAGAGGAGGTCTTCACTGGCATGCCGGGCAGGATGTCTGGGGGTGATCACAGCACCCCGCATCGTATAGGCTTGGACACACGTCTGTGCACTAGGATCTGCGCTTCCTTTCAGCCTTCTTTCAGCGGCCCCTCTTCCTCCAGTCTTGTTATTCCAAATCTCAGGACAACCCACACACAGTGCATTTCAGCAGTCAATACAGAAGGTGAGGAGATCATTCCAGAATCACCTTGGAGGGTTCCCTGTCATGGGGAGGGATTCGGTTTCCCCTTCCACTGTCCTTCAAGGAGCTGGGTGACAGCTGAATGCTGGTACCCCCGTTGCATCGTGACTTTCAAAAGACCTGTTCGCCTGGGTGCTTCAGGCCCCAGACAGAGCCCGCTTTCTTCCCCCAAACCAATTAGCATCCTGTCAAATAAGTCAGACAGGCCGGGACTTACTTTGCCTCAGTGGTTCCTCAGTTGGGACATCAAGGAACAACTTGTGGAAGTGCATATTCGCCTTGTACTACGGTGAGAACACAATACAGGCGTTACTGCTCGCATTTCTTGGTGAAACATCCTAAATCTGAACTTCAATTGAAATTACATAACAAGGGGCGCCTGGGTGGCTCGGCCCATTAAGAGTCCGACTCTTTTTTTTTTTTAAGAGTCCGACTCTTGATTTCGGCTCAGGTCATGATCTCAGGGTCCTGGGATCGAGCCCCACGGCGGGCTCTGCGTTCATCGGGGAGTCTGCTTGTGGATTCTCTCTCCCTCTGCCTCTGCCCCTGCCCCGCTCTCTCTCTCTAATAAATAAATAAATTTTAGAATAAATAAATAAATTACATAACAAATTTCCCCTCCCTTGATACAGTCTCTTTAGGAATTCCTTCTGTCTGATCTTACAGTCTTGAGCACAAGCCTTCAGAGAGGGCAGGGCACAAAGGTTTCATTTTCCAACAGGATTAGTAACTTGCCGGTTGGACAGACATCTGGGACCACGCTGCAGCTGGTGGTCACCGTTCTGCCCAGGAGGCTCGACAAGGGTGTCCCTAATAAAAAAATGACCTGAAGCTCCAAGGGATCTCACCAAAGAAGGCAGGAGATCCCAGGGCACTACAGATACAAGGACTCTCAGAGGAGGGCAGTGGTTAAAGGGTCACATAAACCTGAGTTCAAGTCTTGGCTACACCTCTCCTTGGGTGTGTGTGGCCAAGTGAGGGAGCCTTGCTGAGCCTCAGATTCTTCTTCTGTGCCTGAGGGCAAATCCACTCCCTGCCTCAGAGGGCTGCCATAAGGCTTAAATGGGACAATTCATCCGAAAGACCCACCACCTGGTATTGTCACTCCCTCTACTTTTGTTGTAAGGGCATTTCCTTAGCCAGTGTCAGGGGGAGATGACTCTCTAGGGCGGTAGAAGGCATGTGTTTACACAGCTGTAACAACAACAGACAGCCAGCAATTTCCATCTGGTCACCTGCCTTCACAAATACCATCCCCAAAATAACCCGGGGAGCTGATGTTCCCATTCCATGGGTCTGGACAGTGTGCCTGAGGGAAACTGAGTCACTGAACTGGCGCCACACAGCTAAGAGGTGGAACTGGTCCTCCTTCCACTGGACCTCTGCCTGACAGGACGCTTTTGATAAAAAAAAAAAAAAAAAGTCTTGTGAGCAGAACAGAGAGTACAAGCAGGCCCTTCATGTTTTATTATCCAAACTGGGAGTGGTCTCAATGGCAGGACTGGCCCTAGTATTGCTCCGAGGAAGAGTTTAGAGAGGTCTGCAGATGAAAGGTGGTCCCCACAAGTCAGCTATTTTATAAACACCTCATGTAAAGTAGGTCTCCTCATGCTGCTTCCTAAAAGTACAGTCTGAATCTAGAACGTTACCTGGATTAAAGCTAGGTATTCCAGGAGCGCTTTCCTGAGATTTGTTTTTTTGTTTTGTTTTTAATGGCTACAGTGAGAATCGGCTGCATAACTTGGTTTAAAAATAATCTGGGCCAGAGACGCCTGGGTAGTTCGGTCAGTTGAGCGTCTGCCTTCGGCTCAGGTCATGATCCCAGGGTCCTGGGATCGAGTCCCACATGGGGCTCCCTGCTCAGCAGGGAGCCTGTTTCTCCCTCTGCCTCTGCCCCTCCCTCGCTTATACTCTCTCTCTCAATCTGCCAAATAAGTAAATAAATAATCTTAAAACAACAACAACAGCAACAAAACCTGGGCCCAAAAGAAAAAAAAAAATCCATAATACAAAAAACCTAGAACATGGAGTCTTCAAAAATGTGAACGTAAAATGCAAAAAAAAAAAGGGGGGGGTGGTGGGAATGATCTATATTAAAAGTGACAGATAAATGTAATCCGTGCCTCCTGACTGGATTCTAGAGATAGAGGAGCAAAAAACATTTATAAAGGCATCCAGTACTGGGACAATTATGGAAATCCAAAATGGATTTTACATTAATAATATTTTGGTATATTTACTATTTAGTTACATTTCTCATATGTGCCAGTGGGTTTTTGTTGTTGTTTTTGTTCTAGTTCTTAGGAAACACGTATTCAAGTATTTAGGGGTGAAGTGTCAATAACCACCTCAACCCATTGACCCCAGTAAGTATGCCACACTCTAAGACACAGAACTGGGCTCTGACACCCATCTGGGTGTGTTTTAGAGCAGAACTAAACTACTCCTGGACGAGAATCATGACCCTGTTCACAGGTTTCCCCCCTCCGCGTGCAGCTGGGTAGCCTTCTATTCATACGGGTGTTGTATCAGACTCTAATTTTAATGCAAGGCTATCACAGCTCTCCTGGTCTCGGCTAATTATTAGACCAGCACATGACTGTGTGGGTCCCTGCTCTCAGGGCGCTTGTCAGAGTTAGGGGTCATGGCATGGAACTCACCACTGCCCAGAATATACTGAAAGGTCAGGGGTGAAATAACGATATTGATTAAAAATCAACCGAAGGAACTGCATCCTGTTCTTTCTTCCAGATTCTCTGCCATCTCTGCCTACGTGAGTCCTGGCCAGCAGGAAGATGCACATTTGGGTTTAGTGCCCCTGCCTTGACATGACGCACACCGCCTTCCCAAGTTACCTGGCTGGAAGACGAATACTTTTTCCTGTCCATCTTAGATTCATTTTTGCTTTCTGTTTTACAGTCATTCTTATCACTTGCTAAAGAGGCACCATCAAAACTGGATTTTGACCTGAGGAAAGAGAATCAAGGGAGTTGGTAAGATGAATTTTGTACGCTACTCATTAATTGTATTGTAATAAATCTTGATTGTTATACCATCTCACGAGAAAACCTGACATTCGTTTTTCTTTTCTCGACCTCAGTGATCACTCATAATACTCTAGGAGCATTTACACAGTACAGTGTGTAGGAGACCAGGATGGTTTCACCAGCCTACAAATCTCAAACTGCAGAGAAATGTGGACTTGTAGAAGGGAGAAATATCAACTGAATTGTGAAGGTCATTAATACCATCTCAAAAGCATTCTAAGCAATAAAAGAGGAGTAGTATAGGCAAATTATTAAGCAAAACTACAGCTACAGTTCAATCAAAGAATATTTTTGTTTCAGAATTCTATTAATATTTAACATGTGTTAATTGAGGAGGGCATTGTATTAAAGGCCATTAGGCACACCAGATGGTCTTTTTCCTTAAGGAGCCTGTGAATTCATCAAACAACTTTTTAAAAGGGCAGTACAAGGACTTAGCACCAAATAATACATACCATGGGTGTTAGGAGGAACTAAAGAGGCACTAAGTCCATCAGGAGGTAAGAGGAGATCAATAGTACAATTTGGGTTTAATACACTGGGACTCGGAAGACGAGCAGGAGGTGGGTATGAGGGAAAGAGAGACAAAACATCCCAGAGTAGGGAAAACAGAAGTGAAATCAGGATAAAAATGAAGACTGTGTTTGCAAGTGAAGTCTTCCTTTGTTCTAGTAAGGGCAGAGCTCCAGCTTGTGTTTCTAAGGTGATTCTGGTCCTGGCTCTCCATTTGAGTACATGTGTGAATTTACACGTCTTCAGCCCTGCAGACACACAGAATCATTTCAAAGTGGAATGCACGTGTTGATTTTTAGAGGTCTATATATGTGTGATTTTTCAGAGGTCTACATAGGACCAAGTTTTAGGATACAATTATGTAGGTTTTTTTTTTTTATATTATTATTGGGAAAAATGACACATGAAATCCATGATTCCACAATATGATTCCTTACAAAGAGGCTCAGTTACAACTACTACTTGGTTCAAAGCAAATGTAAGAATCTTGAGTAATTCAGGTGGTATGAGGGTATGACTCAGAGACAGAAATGACTGAAGTCAGATTTTAGACTCTGGGTTTCTCTCGCTGTGAAAAGACGGGCTATCTGATGTTCCGGGCCCCTGCCAGCCCCAACAGTTTGGGTCCATGTTGCTCTAACCACAGGTGAAGATTCGGATTTAGCTACAGATCAGTGAACCTATTCACAGATATAAGTTCCTTTTGAATTCTAGGAATCACTTGTTTTTTCTTTGAAATTACGAGTAAACACTGAACTCAAAAATAAAACTATTTTTACAAATGTCAGATTACCTACTACTTATACTATCCACTGATCTGATTCAATCACCTCTACGGATTCACGTTTGTAAACGTTAACGGAACTGCCAAGGCAACGACCTCTCGAAGGACCGTCGGCAAATGCGACCAGGAGGGCAGCTGTACCCTTGATGGATTCAATAGCCACAGCAGAATGGACTCGTCTGCAGAGCACGGCGCTCTGTGAACGGGGTGCTGATTGACATAGTGCTGCTGTCTTTGTGTCTCCTGAGTTGTGGTACTCTCGTTTCTCACAGGTGACTATGAGCTGGATGGAAAGCCCAGTGCAAAATGAAAATGTCGGGCCTCTTATTCAAAAATCAGGAATTTCCAGCCGGCCAGAGCGGAACAGTAAAGCCAGCGTGGGGCTCTCTGCGACCACACCGAGGCCCCGCCCGCGCCGGTTAACAAGCATGCTCTCACGGTGGGTGCTGGGTGCGTCATTCCCATCCCAAGCCTGGGGGCGGCGGACTCAAGGCACCCTTTTCAGGCTCCCGCAGGAGCCGGCCAGTAATGGTGCAAGATTCAAGAAACCACATGCTTTGTGCCTTTGCCCAGAGACTCGTGCGGTGAGTGCGGCCAGCTGCGCAGACAGGAAACTAGAGAAAAGAGGGTTGAACGGGAGCTGTGTCAAGCCAGCCATGCAGAACCGGAGACGAGAGAACTGGAAGCGACAGAAAAGAAAAAATCTGGGGGAGAGAGAGATGAGACTTACGCTTGGTCTTGAATGAAGGAAGGATTTGGAGAGAAGGAATGGGTTGGGTAGCCAGGAAGGAAAGGGAAAGGCAGGAGTTACTTAATTACCCTTTGGCAGAGGCCAGGAGACCCCGAAAGGTGCAGTTCTGACAGTTCCAGGATCAGGGAGGAGAAAGGAGAGCAATCCCTCCACCGCTCGGTAAGGACTCCCGGCCACACTGCCCCGTAACTGACCACGGGTATAGCCATTCTCTTTTCAGGGCAAAAAAAAAAAAAAAAAAAAGGCAATGTGAAGTTCCTACTTCTTCCCTCTGTGGGAAAGCAAGCATGTAAGTGGAGGCTCTGGGAGTGCCGGGGAGCGTGGCTCCTCTCAGGCTCATGACCAGACTGCTGCTGGCTCCCAGCACCAGCCCCCAGGAAGCAGCGGCCCCCCGAGACAGGCACAGCCCGGCCCGGGATCCCAAGCGGGTGGCTGCCGGGAAGGCGAGGCAGCAGGTGAGCACTCACACAGGTGGAACGGGCACTCCCCCCTGGGCAGGTCTCATGGGCTCCCCGGCCACCTTTGCAGGTGCTTCCGAGGTCTGTGCCAGCCAGGGGGCTGTCCTGGCTTTATCGGGTAGCAAGAGCCATCCCTGAAGAAAGGGGCAGATGTTCTGCCGTGGGCTGGGGCAGGGAGGAGGAAGGATGCTGCCAGCAAGAGACGAGGCAGGAAGGCAAGCTTCAGCTTCAAAGACAGGCACGCCACTTCTTTGTCAGGGGTTTATTTGACTACAGTAGATCCTGACTCTTCACCACCACCACCAACCTAGAAACACGGGCTCCTCCCAGCAACCCCTTGTCCCCAGAGGCCCCAAAGAACAACCTGTCACTGCCAGAACTCACCACAAGGAAAGGATTCTCTTCTGGTCTGGGGACTCGGCCTCGCTGGACGGGGTTGGGGACTGGATTGCTGGCGACTTACAGATCTTCTTTTTCTCCTCCACACCATTCTCAGCCTCTGAGCTGGAGAAGAGAGAAGAACGCTTGGCCTTAGACATCCAGGGAAGGGGGTGGAAAGAAAAACGATGAAAACACCTTGCTTTCTGGAGAAGGGAATGATGTTCAATCCCCATAGCAGGCTGAAGTCAACCTGGACGGCCGTGCCCTTTCCAGATCTCCATTCTGCCGCCTCTCGGCTGGCCCCTCAAGGGCATGAGCGCCAGGTCATGCCTGCTGTGGCAGCTAAATGTCCGACTTTGTGGGAACTGGGTGGCTCCCAGATGTGCGCCCGTGGGCCCCGCACTGCTCAGCTCTGCCCTGCTAGCTGCGTGCCGGGGCGACAGATCACCCGGAGGCTGGGAGGGCCTGTGTACACACGTGCTCGGCGCACACGCTCACGCGTGGCCTTCTGCCAGGTGTGAGCCTTCCTGCTTCGAGCCCCCACCCCTTTGTTTGCATTTCTCTTGTGTCATTTACCACCCACTGTTGTAGTTATATATAGGTCCCACTTCGGGTTGTTGGTATTTTAACCAAGCACTTCTCTAAGCCGTTTGCAGTCTCTAATCTACACAGCCACCCAGGCTGGGTAGGAATTATGACAACCCTCTCTTCAGAGATCTGGAATCTGAAGCTCTCAGATATCATCCACCTTGCCCAAGTTCACAGAACCGGCATCTGTCAAGCTTAGGTCTGTCCATCGAGGAGGCCTCTGGGTACACACCCATCCTCAGATCCTCTCTCTCTTTCCCTTGCCATCCACCCACCTCCCGCCCCCAACCACTTGTCCTTCCATCTAGCCCCCTCATTAGCTCTTCAGTGCGAGAGGGCTCCACGGCAGGGTGAGGATCTTAATGATTTTTATACTGACCACAGGGTCTAGGTGAGTGCTGGTATCTAATCATCATCAACAGGCTTTTAGAAAACTAGGGCTGACTTTGGTGAAAGAAGGATTAGAGGGGAAAACAAGTTAGGAGGGTTTGCACACGACACCACTAACAAATGGAGGTAACCAGTGGGGTGGATGCAGGAGTTGAGCTCCCTCAATCTTAGGGACCGGGGACACGAATTCCAATTTGGGAAAGAAAGAGGAGGGCGAGGAACGTGGGAAGGGAGAATATGTGGTGTTTTACATGGGCCAGACCTTCTTTCGTGCCAGCCTGCAAAGCACAGAATTCACAAGACACATTTCTGGGAATGTGAGAGCTCCAGGGAGGCTGAACATAAAGGAAAACATACTAAGATAGCATTGCAATGACAGTTTGGCTACTTTGAATCCTAATTTACCACCATTTGGTGTCTTCACCTGCACAGGACCGCACGCACGGGCAGGAAATGTGAGCGGTTAGTTGAAGCTTTGTGGTTGCTTGCTTACCACTTTTCACAGTGTGTGCCAGTTCCAGCCCATTCCAGTAAGACTGCAGTAGGGTCAAAATCAAGACCAAGTGTATCTGACAACGTAGCCAGTTAACAATCCCTACAGACAGTGGATGCTCTTACGTGGTAGTTAGCATTCCTAAGTACGTCAGCATTCCCCCACCTTCCACTTCTTCAATTCTCAAAGTGCTCAAAAGCACTTAGGTACGTTCGAAGAGCTCAGTCTGTAATTGAATTGTGTGATGTGACAAAAGACACATGGAAGTCTTTGCAATATTAACAGGAAAACACTGCTTCGGTTTGAAATAGAGGGTTCTATTTAATTTTAGCATCAAGCTGAATTCGTGGAACGGTTAAGGGGCTTTACAGCATACCTCTGCCCACCCGCCCTCCCCAAAACACACACATTATTCGAGTTCTTCAAAAGCATCAGACGGTAATCCACTTGTGAGGCCCTCTTTAAGTAGGGAGAATGAGTGTGTGTGGAACCTCAATCATCCACTTGGCATTTATTTATGTATTTGCTGCATTTTATGCACGAGCCAGAGCCGCTGTTCTCCTGCACAGCACCTCTGCGTACTGAGAAAGGACCCTACCCCCAAGAGGCACTCACCAAAAGCTGCCCCTCTGTTTGGAGGTAGCCCTGTTGCTACATGGCCTGGCAGATCCAAGGTACCCCTAGCTCTGGGCAAATGTCTTATTTATCCACCTCCTAGACTAAATTCCTTACGAACAGGGAACGTCTGTGTTTTTCCACGGTGCTCAGCTCAGCATTTGATGCTCCTAGTGGTCATTTATACGTGTTGACTGATGTGGGATTCGTTCTGCAGTGTCTCACAGAGGAAGTGAAATTCATGTAGGGGCCCATTCAATTTTAGAGTTTTGTTGACTTAAAGATGCCACAGGGGTGCCTGGGTGGCTCAGTCGGTTAAGCATCTGCCTTTGGCTCAGGTCAAGATCCCAGGGTCCTGTTACCCAGCCCCCGTCCCCCCATGTGGGGCTCCCTGCTCAGCAGGGAGCCTGCTTCTCCCTCTGCCCCTCCAACTCCCGCCATGCCCCGCTAGTGCTCTCTCTCTCAAATAAATAAAATCTTAAAAAAAAAAAAAAAGATGCTATGGAAACTCAAGCAAGTGAATTCCTAACACAGGAGAGCTCACTCCCACAAGCACCCCTCCCCGCTGAGGTGTTGTGGAAGCAGACTGAAACTATAATAGAATCCAAACAGCAAAGACTGGCCAGGTGTGGGAGGGCAATGAGATGGTTCTGCAAGGCCCCTCTGTAACTTTAAAGTTACTGTCGGTAAAGCTGAACTCACCGGCAAGGGAGGTGAAATAACAGGTCTTGTTTAAGTCATGAAAAAGAAGAAACCAGGTATTTTTCTTTCTTTTTTTTATAACCAAGAAGACAAGGCCTTTCAGGGACACTGACCACAAGAGTCAACTAAAAAACAAGACAAAAACCAAACCAAAAGAACAATCTTCCTCTTTTTTCCTTTCTCTCTCTCTCTCTGTCTCTCTCTTGATTTACTAATAGACAAGGCCTAAAGGTTTATTTCTTCTTGGACACACCCACGGTGTGGCCACCGCAGCCTGTGGTCTTGGTGTGCTGGCCTCGGACACGAAGTCCCCATGAGTGGCGCAGCCCGCTGTGAGCCCAAATCTTCTTCAGTTGCTCCAGGTCTTCCCGGAGTTTGTTGTCCAGACCATGAGCCAGGACCTGGCTGTATTTTTTTCCATGCTTGACATGCTTTAGTCTGTTCAAGAACCAGTCTGCGGGGCGCCTGGGTGGCTCAGTTGTTTAAGCGACTGCCTT